AAGCTTATCATTTCGGCATTCCGTTGTGGATAAATATTATTCATGTAGAAGATTATCTATAACTCGTACAAAAACAACTTACAAGAAGCTTACACATCAGCTTGCAGTAGGAGCTTACAAGCAGCTTAAACAGCAGCTTGTAGTAGCACCTTACACAACAACTTCCTTTTTTCTATTTCAGTTCATTATGTACATGAGTTTGAAGTTGAATAATATATCAATATCTCTCTATACTTGTCTTCGATTTATTTACTTTATAGTTTTTATTTTACAACACGTTATCAGCACAAGACTCTGCCATTTTGAGCACTTACTTTGAATTTAATTTATATTTCAGTGTTCATCTCTGATGTAAGGCGACACTCTTATATCCGTGGTTAGATCTTGTTCATTCCAAACATCATAAGGCAGATTATATCCTTGAGGTGGCGGGTTTTTCTTCTTGACAGTAGTGATGTAGATATCACCTACATCTGGAGTGGCCAAATTTGCGTAAATTAATTTGAGCCTTTTGCTTATATTTTAATATCTTTATCATCGCTTGCTTGGTTATATGTTACGTATATAGTACCTATTTTGGTATTTGTTTTCATCCTAATTATCTTAATAAAGGATTACAAACTCGATAACATTTTTAGATCCACTTAAACTCCAGCAGAGTATGCAAGAAATATACAACCACCAGAAGAGGTTATGTTTCGTATATCTCATTGTAACTAAATTTTGTTAACCACCTTGAAGTGGTAAATGCCTATGACCGCCAGAAGTGGTAATTTAGGCTTTCTATGCACGCCTCGATTTGCTCCTGAAGTAGTAAATATTTTAAAAGAGGTTGAATCATCATAATTTGATATGATTAATGTGCGTTCAGATAATTATGTTCGATTTTCTGAAGGATGAGAATTTTTGATAAATATTAATCCATTCCCTGAAGTAAATGTGATAATATTAATAAAGCTGTAATTATGAATGCGCTCTTGATTTAAATATATTATAATTCACCTCCAGAAGAGTTAATATGGTTGAGAGAATATATACTCAATATTTCGTATTTTAAATTTGCTCCTGAAGAAGTAACACAATTGAAATTTCCTTCTGGAGTAGGAAAATATTATGAAGAGGTATTTTCTTGTGCTTAAACAATTATTTTATATTGTTTATTTAATTATAATTTTCTCTCACGATACTAGAAGTGTCTGAGAAATATTTGATAGTACAAAATGTATCAACAACTCCTGAAGAGCTAGTTGTTTGTCTTGAAGACACATGATACCAGTAGTGTCCGATAAATATTAGATTGTGGATAATAAACGAAGTCTCTCGAAAAGCTTATATACAAATATGTCATTCATATTATATGATTATGGTCAAAACATATGTGGTAGTAAACCTGAAGTTTAATAATACAAACTATCATATTGAGACTATAAATGATTGGAAGAATGAAAATCTTCATGTTTCTACAATCATAGGGGGTAAAATAATATGTATGTGAGAAGTGACCCGCCTTATTCTTCAATTTATACTATATCATGTATCATAGTAAACCAGAAGTTTACTAATGCACAAGCACTCACAGTAAATAAGAAATTTTACTGAGGGAAAAGTAGCTACAGTAAATCAGAAATTCATTGATATAAAAGTAGCCACAATAAATCAAAAGTTTACTAATGCAATAATTTATGCCATAGTAAACCAGAAACTTACTAAGAGATAACACATGCCATGATAAACTTGAAGTTTTCATTTGCCATTTTTTAAATGAGCTATTTGAGAATTGAGATAAGCATATACTGAAGAACTAGAAGATTCTTCAAGAATTCTCTTGTGTTGCTTGTTCACATAATAAATTGATTATACTAGCTAAAGTTGGGACTAAGACCCCTGAATTTTAGAATATATAAAAGGTAAATATGGTTCTTCTTGATGATGCTGGTTTATATCCAAGCTAATTTAGCATTTAAGAGCATAATTTTCAGATTAAGAAATCAAGATAGTTCATCTTGATGATGCTGGTTTATATCCAAGCTAGTTTAGAATTGAGTACCTCATATTAATGGCTAAACTATTGCTTATGAGAACAAAGTCTCATGTGTTGGTCTAAGATTTTCTAAATTGCATACATCAATACTTGTATGCATCAGACTAACAAAATATGATAAGCCCTCCCCTCACAATTGGTTTAGGATTATAAACCAAATATTTTTACTATCTAATAACTTTTGATGTGTGAAATATGATTAATTTCTCTACCACAATGCACAAAGATAGGTTTTCTAAAGAAGATTGGGGATATGTGTTAGTTTTTCTAACATTTGGGGGATGGAATAAACAGCTGGAAAATATGCCATATGAATCGAATTATTATTAATATGATCCTCACTTAAAAGATAATTCAAGTCAAATGCCAGAAACATTTGCTGATCCAAAATTAAATATCATATTTCAGCTGCAAATGCTCCTATTAAATTAAAGTCCATGAATGATAAAGTTTACTGCACGCATGAAGCGTAGTAAACCGATCAGTTTCAAAGGTAACAATCCTTGAAAAATGATATGAGCAAATGATCAAAATGATTGTAATGAGGAGGAAATGGGCTTTAGAAGAGCCCACGACATAACATTTCATTTAACTCCAGAAGAAGTTCAAATACCTGAAAATAAAGAAAGTGATGAGATCTCACCAAGTTTTGTCGCTTAGGAACCGATACAAAATCGTCAACGATATATTTGATGCAATATAGTTCACAATATTATAAAAAGATTGTGAGGATCAGACCTGTAGTCCAGACACCAGAAGATGTCATGCCATCTAAATGCAAGTCATAGCCTATATGACTCATTTGATTAAGTCTATATGAAGATCCCTGAATAATTTAAAATGCTTGAAACAAATAGTTCAAAGTATTGTGAAATGTGCTCAATCAGATTATAAAGATCTTTGTACGATTTAAATCAATCTGGGTGCATGTGATATAATCGCCTCAGTACATATTTGCTGAAAGAAGGTTACATAAACGATGTTATTTGTCCATGTATTTTTATAAAGAAAATGGTATCAGAATTTGTTATACTTGCTATTTATGTTGATGACATAAATCTTGTTGAAACTCCAGAAGAGCTCCAAAAGGCAATCGAATATCTTAAGATAGAATTTGAGATGAAAGATCTTGAAAAAATAATTTTTTGTCTTGGTCTGCAAATTGAATATTTAGCAGACGAGATCTTTATCCATCAATCTACCTATATAGAAAGGGTCTTTAAATGCTTTTACATGGACAAAGAGCACCCATTAAGTACACCAATGGGTGCTCGATCACTTGAAGTGAATAAGGATCCGTTCCGACCTCCAGAAGAGGATGAGGAACTCCTTGGTCCTGAAATACTCTATCTCAGTACAATTGGTGCACTTATGTATCTTGCTAATACTAACAAAGGTGGTGCAGATCATATTGGTTATGCAGATGCAGGTTATTTATCCGATCCCCTTAAATCTCGATCTCAAATCGGGTATGTGTTTACATGTGGAGGTACTGTCATATCATGGCGCTTCACAAAATAATCTATTGCTGCTACTTCTTCAAATCATGCTGAGATAATAATTATTCATGAAGCAAGTAGGGAATGCGTATGATTGAGATCAGTGATTCATTTTATTCTAGAAAAATCTGGGTTGGAATGTGATAAAAACCCACAATATTATACGAAGATAATACTGCATGCATAAACCCAATTAAAGGGAGGATTCATAAAAAGAAATAAAACGAAATACATTTTACCAAAGTTATCATTCACACATGATCTCGAGAAGAATGGTAATATTCACACATGATCTCGAGAGGAATGGTAATATCGTTGTGTAGCAAATCCATTCAAGTGACAATAGATTTATTCACTAAATCTTTACCAATTTCAACTTTTGAGAAGATAGTATACGAGATTGGAATGCAGAGACTCAATATTTGAAACAAAATTTTTATCAGGGGGAGTAAAATACACGCTGTACTCTTTTTCCCTTATTAAGATTTTTCCCACATGGTTTTTCTTATAAGGTTTTTAATGAAGCAGCTAGCAATATGTATTACTGTATATGTGTAGTCTTTTTCCTTCACTGAAATATTTTTCCACGGGGTTTTTCCTAGTAAGGTTTTAATAGGGCACGTTATCTTTTAATAAACATCAAGGGGGAGTGTTATAAATATATTATATTATGGATGTCCATTTAGTACTCCGTTGTAAATAAGTTTCTTGAAGAAGCTTATCCATATTGGACTCCGCTGTAAATATGTTTATATATTTAGTACTCTGTTGAAAATAAGCCTCCTGAAGAAGCTTATCATTTCGGCACTCCGTTGTGGATAAATACTACTCATGTAGAAGATTATCTATAATTCGTACAATAACAACTTACAAGAAGCTTACACATCAGCTTGCAGTAGGAGCTTACAAGTAGCTTATACAATAGTTTGCAGTAGCATCTTGCAAGAAGCTTACACAACAGCTTATACAACAACTTCACTTCTTCTATAAATAGAAGAGATTTCAATTCATTATGTACATAAGTTTGAAATTAAATAATATATCAATCTCTCTATACTTGTTTTTGATTTATTTACTTTACAATTTTTATTTTATAACATAATTCATATATATATATATATATATATATATATTACTTATTACTATTATTTAGAAATGAGAGTTGGGTGTACAAGTACGAACAGGGGTACTCTTGGAATTCCAAATATAGTTAGGGATAAATTGGTAATACTACTTCACTTATTAAATTGGTAATACTTCTTCATTTATTAAATTGGTAATTGTCCCTCCTTTATTGGCAATGACACCTGTACTACGTTTGTGACACATTTCCTTTGGCTTTCTTTTTTATACTATTATTGTGCGCTCAATCTCTCTCTCTCTCTCCAGAAAATTCACAATTCAGGCAAGTATTATTTTTCAGTAATTTTTACTTTTTTGCTTCTCTTTTCTCTAATCTGACTCAATATCGCTCTATCTGTTTCAATAAGAGGTTTCCTAGGATTATATAGAGGTTTATCCTTATGTATTTTCTTCTTCAGGTTAAAATTTGGTAGATGGATTTTTTATGCGAATCGCTGCTGCTGACTGTGGAAAATGGGTGCTTGCGGATCTCTTTTACCCGTGGGATTAAATTTGTCGGGTGAATGCGCAGGTAAGAGTTGTCTGACAAAGAATTTGTAGTTTGTATTGCTCTTCTTTGTTGGTAATTGGATTTAGAGCTGTTCATTTTTTCTGTAGTTTTTGGTGACCTTCTTCTTCTTAATTTCTTGCCAGAATTCTTCCATGTATGTCAGTAATTGTATATGGTTTGCACATGCATTATGTCTTTTAGGTAAATTTTTCTTTTGCCTGCAGATAATTTCACTTATTTTACGGAATAAAAATTGAATCTTTCTGAAGATAACTTTGAAAACCAACCACAACAATTGTCTCCGTGACAAAAATTCACCAAATTGACACACCAATATTTTTAGTCATTTATATAGCATAGGAAATCAGAGACTAAGAAATGCGTTCTCTCTCTTGGGTAGGTTATTCTCGCTATCTCTTGTCGGTAAGTATATCTGTTATGGTATTGCTGTCGTGCCGTTCCAGTAGTGTTTGTTAATTTGTAGTTTTGAGGGGGGAATGAAAAAAAGGTAAATAAAGGCCTTAGCCAAAAGCAAGGGCTTCCCGGGGTCCGAACGAAAGCAGAGGCAGCAGGGCAGGTATTCTCAAAAAAAAAAGACGAAAACATAAAGAATATTGATTAGAGTATTCTGAAATTAGTCTCAAAGTGCATTTTGAAGATTGTATTGAGCTAAATCTTTGGTTTGAAAGATCTGTAAGATATAGTTAAATAGACTTACATCGTCGATTGTCTGATATTATATTTTTTTCTTACGCCTTCACACTTCTTGCCTTTCGGTCCTTATTGTTTGTGGCTTATGTTGTTTTCATTAGGATAATTCTTACACGCATAAGCTAGAACTGTTTGATTTTAGGAGTATACAGATATTGATATGTGATTTTAAGTGCTCTTGTTCCTTCTAAAATAGCGAATTGAAAGATATAAGATGTTTTCCAATGATTGGAAGACCTTTTTGGCCTTTGGAATTTGTAATGGGCCTTATGACATGAGGCTTCTCATCAAGTGTTATTATAAGGACAAGGTGCTGGTAAGGTGTGTGCTTATCAGGGAAGAAGATATTTGTTTATGATATTTTTGCTTTGTCAAAGCATGCATCTAGCTGAAATCTTTTAGTGGAATGACATATAAAGTATATGTTACCTGCAGTAACTTAAAATAAACAATCAGGTAACGTTTCACCATAGTTGAATATGGTTTTAAATTTATATAGTTGGAGATATGTCCTTGGTATGCCATACATGTGTCGAAAGAAGAAAAAAGATGAAGGAAGAGGATCCAGGGTCAATCAAATGTGCTAGCCTGAACTTTAAAGGATCGGGAAAGAAATTATTTGAAGATCAATGTAAAGCTGGTAGTCTAAGGGCATGGTGTTTTCTTTTATATTATGTAGGTGATATATCCTATATATGACTGCCAAATCTACAAATACACTTGTTTCTGCAATACTTTTGCTTTATTTGAGATGGAAATTTGGTGGAACTCGGAATCAAGTTAGTTGAGAAGTAAAAATTTAAACAGGATGTTGCAAGGAAAATTTGAATTAATCTCAGACCTTCAAGTTAATTAGACTGAAACTCTTTGACCTTCTAAACATGATTCTCTTGATGAATTTACTTTTATTACCTATATGTTGATTCTGATTGGAATTCATACTGTTCTGAGACATCAAAGTAACTTCTTATGATAAATTTAGTTTTGTTTATCACCTATGAGGCTGCATGAAGTTCCTACTCAAATTCCATATTACCAAATAAATAATGTGATAATATGTGGCTTCATAACCATAGTATTGTATAACTTATACATAAACATAGTGCTCCGATTTAACCGATTTTCTATTCTATAGTTTTTAAAGGTAGGCAAATTGTTCAATTTGTTCTCCTTTTCCTCTTCCAGATAAGTGAGGGAAGGCGGGAAGGTGTTGACCAGAAAAGAGATGGAAGGCTGCAATGTGCTGCTAATTACCTGATCCGACTGTATAGAATGATGGAAAAATTTAGCAAGCTACCCACCTTTCTACATTTGATGTGATATTTACTGACTTAACAGTAATTTGTTGATTTGCAGCGAAGCCTGTTCAGATATGCTTCATTATTGCTCTGCTACTGAAGCTGCATCCGGAGGAAGAGATGCAGAACAAGTGACTAAAATTAGAAATAGAAGCTGAGGTAAGCCAACACACTGTGAGCACGTTTAACATTGTCGATTGTTTAATTCATTTGCATCTGTCCAAAATATACGCCTATATACATTTCTAGAGCTAGAGATAAGGACATCTCCCCACCCTCACCCCAAACGGGAAAAAAGGTTTCTCAGTCTTTTTTACACCAATTTTGAAGTATTTTAAAAAAAAATAGGAAGTTTCTACAACATACCTTGCTTCCTTTTTTTTATTATAGAAAGAAAATGCCATCTGTTGCTTGTCTATTACCCCTTTTTAGTTGTCAAACATATCTCTATTATACTCCTAGGTGAAAAAATCCAACGTTAGGTTTGTGCATTATTTCATCATGGTATGATCTTGAACTTACATATCTTAAAAGCTATTTTTATGTATGTGCTTCTCAGACTCGTGTGTTCAGTGGAGCCCTTAAAACATGAACCTATCACTAAAATATGAACCTAATTAGTGATGTAGTTGATTGTTACTTCTCCATGATGATGAAAATTGGGAAGACCTGGAGTTGCCTCCCAGATCAAACTTGCTTCGGTATGCAATTGGAAAGTTCTGTTCTTTGGATCATAGTGAGGTCACAGAATTATTGCAACAACCACCCCTTTACTGGCTTATGACTAAACACGTTATTTTGTTGTATGAAATTTCAAAACGCTAGCATGAGGGAAGACTGTTATTACTTAATATTCCCCAACCAGATATCTTTTAATGTTGTTTTTTAATTTGTTTCAATGTAATTGGTTCTTTAATCTGTATCAATGTAAATGGGCGTAGATGAGATTTGTCTCTACTTTACAAGATTTTCTTGAAAAACAAATAGTGTAATTTAGTTCTGTTAGGAGGGAGAAGTTTCTATCCCTGAATTTTCATAATTGTATATGCTATTGATTTTCAGTCTTCCTGAGATGACCGCCCCTTATTAACCCATTGGTCAACATTAGTGTATGAAAGTTTGGCGAGAAAAAGCCCAAAACCATACATTATCTTTGGCTTTAGACTCAAAGTCATACATATTCTTTCACATGGAGTACTTATAGTCCATTTTACTTTAACAAAGTAGTGCACTTTTAGTTATAACACTGAGAAAAAGCCCAAAACCATACATTATCTTTGGCTTTAGACTCAAAGTCATACATATTCTTTCACATGGAGTACTTATAGTCCATTTTACTTTAACAAAGTAGTGCACTTTTAGTTATAACACTGAGAAAAAGCCCAAAAACATACATTAACTTTTAACTTTAGACTAAAAGTCATACATTTTCTTCCACATGGAGCACTAATAGCCATTTACTTCAACAAGGTGGTGCTAAATTAAATGGACTATTAGTGTTCCATGTGGAAGAATATGTATGACTTTGAGTCTAAAGCCAAAGATAATGTATGTTTTTGGTCTTTTTCTCAGTATTATGACTAAAAGTGCACCACTTTGTTAAAGTAAATGGACTATTAGTGCTCCATGTGAAAGAGTATGTATGACTTTGAGTTAAAGCCAAAAATAATGTATGGTTTTGGATTTTTTCTCAAAGTTTGGTTCTTAAACTAAGTAACATACTGGTTATAATGTCTATATATACGTATAGCTACATGTCACGAGGCGGAGTGAGAAGCTCAAATATGGATCAAGTCGCTAAATAAATATTTATTAAATACTCTTAATATTAAATGTAGAATTTAGTTATTAGCACTTAAAGTTATTCTAAAATTTATGTTTAAAGTTGAAATTTTGGTTCCTGTTGCTGCACATATTTTACTATTCTAATCTATATATTGCTAAAGGGGTCATTAATGGAGTGATAACGGTAAGTGACTCTGTAGATGTTCTCGTGAATCGTGATAGAGAAAATAAACTAAACAATCTCTTAAGTGTAGGACTAGGTTAAGTTTGGCCATTGTCCCTTTTGTTAGGTCTTTTACCTTAATAAAGAGAAAAAAACACACAAAGCAATCCATTACCTACTCCATTGTGGCATTTATATTTGGTTTAAAATAGTCAGAATAATTTTGGAGATTCTCTGTTTGCTTTTCATTATTTCGAAAAAAATTATAAAATGGTTCCTTATATTACAGATACGTTTAAAATGATCCCTTAAATATGTTACTGAGGAACAGAACTAGCCTTTGATTTTGGTTTAAATGCTGTATTTATATTAAAAATTTACTTAATATATAAGAAAAATTTATTCTATTCAGAACCTAATAAGTTATTTTTTCAAGGATCAAGAACTTATAAACTCAAAATCCGAGCTCCGCCGATTCTGGTCCTTTAAATTAACACAAGATGAGTACTTTTGATTTCCATCAAATATTTAATAAATACTACTCCCTCCGGTCCAAAATAAGTAATTTTCTGACTGTTTTCACACAGATTAAGAAATTCATATTTTAACATTAATTAGCAATAAAATTTACCATATTATCCTTTACTATCTCTTCACATTTTTTTAATTTTATTTTATATTTGACATAATGCCATATTGGGATTTGGGATGTGATTATTATCAACTCTCACTAAAGCAAATGAAGCAACGGCATAACAATGAAAACTCTGTGATTTCAAATTTTCAGCAAGAATCTCAATTTGTCATGTATTTCAACTTTACTGTTCAGAGAGTACTCTTGAACTATTTTGATTGAGTCTTCAACTTTAAAATTCATGGAGTCTTGATCATCCCTCTCATATTGCCTCTCTATTTTTATACTAACAAGCACTCCATAGTTGAAGAGTAAGAGAACTAGAAAGTGGAAACGTGAATCTGATCATATGGAAGAATTTAATTGCATTGGAAATAAACACTCCTAACATATACTCCAATAATATTTACTTCAAGGGCAATGTAAGAAAAAAATAATTAACTTATTCTTAAAATTTGAAAAAATAACTTGTTTTGGATCACAAAAAAAGATCAAAAAATCACTTATTTTTAGATACGAGGGAGTAATTATTAGATTTAATACAATAGCGAAAAAATAGGATTTAACAAGGCGATCTTGTTTTCACTACTCCCATAGAAGTAATTTTCCTAATTTAAAAAACTAAACATGAGAATATTGAAAAAAAAATATTTTCCTCCATTACGAAAACACCCACAATTTCCAAGCTGGAGTTGTAGGCCGCGTGGAAAAAAAGGTAGCTGTCAGAGAAAGTGCAGAAGAAAAACCCAAAAGAAACACGATATTCAATAAGAATATACCCACCATTTCCCCAAAAAGAAAACAACAAACAAAGGTATAATAAGCTAGCCAGTAGTAGCAGAGGATAACATCATCAATCGGGCAACCCATAAACTTTAGCTAAAATCAACGGTCAACTCATCTTCCTTGCTCTTCTATGTTGGATCTCACTTCTGTAAGCCTTCTTCCCAAGTTCTTTCTTTATTTTTAGATTCCACGCTTTTTGGTTTGAGGTGTAAGTTGGATTTGTTTACTGTAACTGAAGTTGGAACTTCTGTATTGAATTGGGTATTTGATTTTGTTGAAAATTTGTGGGAATTAATTGAAGAAAATAAAACTAAACGTAGAATAAGTTTAGTTCTTTGTTTTTGACCTAATTACCTATGTTAAACTTGAAGAGAACCATAATGATTTGTAGTTGAAGCTTCTGTAATGTATTGGGAGAATTGAGGGACAGTATTGGTTTACTGAACTCAAAATTGAAGAAATGAAGTTAAAAGTTAAAACAAGTTTAGTTCTTCATTATACCTAAGCTTATGTTAATCTTATATAAGCTGAAATAGAAACATTAAGATTGATGATGGGCTTGAATACGTATATTTTTTTATTTTTTATTCTTTTATAATTATTTTGGATTTAACTCTTCGATGTGCAAAGCATAGTCAGTCTCGAACCCAATAAATGATCGGCTTATAGTTGATGTCAAACTGTGATAAATCCTCTGAAAATAGCCTACAATTAGTTTGGAATTGTGGCATAGTTGATATTTAGGTATATTTTTTATTTATTTTTGGGTTTCCCTTACAAAATATAAACTTTTATGATACTTGTGCTGGTGGGAGGTAGCAAGTACGAGGTGGAATAGTCGAGGTGCATGCAAGCTGGTCAGGAGTCGTAAAAATATAAATAAAATTTTCTGGCCCACAAAGGTCTTTTTGTTTTTGGCTTCTCATTTGGATTCTTGGTTGGATATTTACATTTTGGCAGTGAAAAAGATGTCTTGGAAGAGCAGTAGCGGGGAACAGAATGGTGGGCGATTGCTGCGTGACATTGAAGAAATTAGTAAAGCCCTTTATGTACATAAAACCCCTCAGAAGGCTTCAACTTTTCAAGCAGATCATGGGCATGATTCTTTTGGCGATACCCATATCTCTAGATCCAGTTCCAATGTTGTATCTGATGACATGCTGCATAAACAGAAGAAATCATCAATGTGGAGTTGGAATCCATTAAAGGCTCTAACTCATATCCGCCATCGACGGTTCAATTGTTGTTTCTTTCTTCATGTTCATTCCATTGAAGGCTTGCCTGTCAATTTCAAGGACCTTGCTTTGTGTGTAAACTGGAAACGTAAGGGTGAAGTGATGAGAACTCGCCCTGCTCAGGTTTGTCAGGGAACAGCCGAGTTTGAAGAGACTTTGACGCATTCCTGTTCTGTATATGGAAGTAGGACAGGACACCAGCATTCAGCAAAGTATGAGCCTAAACATTTCATGCTTCACGTTTCTGTGATTGGGGCTCCAGGCCTTGATATTGGCAAACATTGGGTTGATCTTACGAGGTTGCTTCCACTAACCTTGGAGGAGTTAGAGGAGGGAAGAAGGAATTCAGGGAAGTGGACCACGAGCTTCAAGCTTTCAGGAAAGGCTAAAGGTGCATTGCTGAATGTTAGTTTCGGATTTTCTGTATTAGGGAGTAACTCGATTGAACCTAGTCAATTCGTACAAGCCATCAAATCTGCTGCAATAGATCATTTCTCAGAATGTGATGGGACTAGTGGTAATAGAATGCTTCGGAGGGTTGGAAGTGTTCCCCGCAAGCCTGCTGGTATGACTCATTTTTCATCTAGGTCACTGGATGCGAGAAGTTTTGATGAAGTTTTATCAGACCAAAAATCAGAACTTTCTCGATCTATTACCTTTCTGTATAAAAAACTTGAGGAAGGAAAATTGGAGAAATTGGATGAATTAGATTTCTTATATGAACATTTAGAACCCTTAAAACCAAGCTCTGGTGCTTTGTCTCAGTCTTATGCTGAAAGTACCAGGGATGATCTACATATTGAGTTTACTGTCAGTGAGCTGGGTATGGAATCTTCTAGGAAAGAGCAGTTGAAACCAGAAGTATGTTCTTATGACAGTTGTGATGATACTTCAATAGAAACTACTGATGTTGCTTACATTTTGGAGGTTACAAGTAATGAGAAAAGTGAATACAATCAAAAGCATGAAAGCAATGACGTTTACGAAGGAGAACATACGATGAAGAGCAGCAACTATGAGGAGACTGATGTGTGCGAGGATGGAACGTTTGAAGAGCTTGAATCGATTTTCCTAGACCTGTTGACTGCTGAGTCCGTAGAGTTGGATTCACCAGTAGAAATCTTTGATTCCATTGACCAAGAAAACTACATGAATCTGAAGTCCAGCTATAAATCCAGTAGGCGGGTGAAATCACTTAGCCTAGATGATGTTACAGAGTCTGTGGCAAATGATTTTCTAGATATGTTGAACATTGAGCAGACGTCAATTGACTTGAATTTTGATAGTTGTCCGGATTCACCCAGAGAATGCCTTTTGAGACAGTTTGAGAAGGAGGCCCTTTCTTCTGGAAACCCAATTTTTGGTTTTGATGCAACAGATGATCAAGTGGAATTCAGTGGCATTGCTTCAAGTGTTCATGGAAGAGTTGCATGTTCTGATGACTTTGATTTGTCATCGGTTATTAAGGATTTTGAGATGGAGCACTGGCGGGGTACCCAGTCATTGAGGAGTAAAAGGAATGCAAAAATGATAGAAAACTTGGAAACTGAGGCTTTGATGCGAGATTGGGGTTTGAATGAGAAAGCATTCCAGAATTCACCACGCACCAGCTCTGGTGGGTTTGGAAGTCCAATCTATCTTTCCCCTGAAAGACCATTAGAATTACCTCCTCTTGGGGAGGGCTTAGGTTCCAAAATGTGCACGCATAATGGGGGCTTCTTATGTTCAATGAGTCCTCAACATTTTAGGAATGCAAGAAATGGTGCAAGGTTGACCATGCAGTTTTCCAGTCCAGTTGTGCTCCCTGCTGCAATGGGTTGTGGTGCTATGGAAATACTCAGCTGCTGGGCATCTGGGGGAATTTCCAAAATGTACGGATACACTGATGCCTTTAGAAGATATCACGGGGAGGAATATACAAGAAATGGCCTGGGAAGCCAGATCCAGAATTGAACCAGATGAGAGGTTTGTAATTTTAAGATCATGATATAAGTTATATGTTTTCTATTATTTTCATTATTTGTATGTCATCCAAGACGATGGTTTAAGTTATGTTCTTGTGATTCTTNGGAATTGAACCAGATGAGAGGTTGTAATTTTAAGATCATGATATAAGTTATAAGTTTTCTATTATTTTCATTATTTGTATGTCATCCAAGACGATCGTTTAAGTTATGTTCTTGTGATTCTTTTGGCAGGTTCACTTTTTGGCATGGCTTATTTGGTATGAAGAAGGACAGTGAAGGTCTGTTTTTACATCGGAGTTCTGGTCATCTGAATTCAACCTCAATAATTGATGATGTAGATTTAGGTTTTGTGTCTATGGAGGATCTAGCTCCTTTGGCAATGTATAAGATAGAACCTCTTACAGTAGAAGGGTTAAGAATCCAGTCAAACTTGTCAGATAATGAAGCACCTTCAAGCATTAGGCCTCAACTTAGTGAAGTTTTTGGTTCTAATATAGCTAGCGCATTAGAGCATTGGAGTGGCAAAGAAAGTGATGATGACGAGGGTGATTTAGTGGAGCTGTCTGTTTCACCAGATGAATGGTTGAGGCTGGATGCTGGAGATTTCAGTAATAATCCTGAGATCAAAGAAAGAACCATCAAAATATTAGCAGCCCATCATGCTAAGTCCCTTGATTTAGATAATTCAGGACTTGCAACAGGTGAAGAAAGATCGGAATTGTTGGGTAGAGAATGTGGTCAACTGTGTAACAACTTGACTTTAGCTCTGAGGGTTCAACTCAGAGATCCTTTGCGTGACTATGAGATGGTCGGCATCTCCATGCTTATTCTGATTCAATTAGAGAGATCTTATGCTCCTGTTGAACAATATTCCTGCAGCAGAGCATCAGAAGGAAATTCAAGCTGTGAAAATGATCCAAAGGAGCAATTCATTCAGGAAGAAATTATTGCTGGAGAAAGTGAGAGAGGAATCCATAGGCAGGCTGTTTCTCAGTTTAGGATAACTGAAATTCATGTCGCAGGTTTTAATGTTGAGCCTAATGATGAACAAATCTGGGGCACAAAAAGACAGCAACAAGCTGGGACGCGGTGGTTGCTATCAAGTGGCATGGGGAGGATAAGCAAACGTCCATTTTCCATCTCAAATGCCATCATAAGATCATCGCCGCAGATAAGGAGAACTATGCGGCCTGGAGATGCTTTGTGGAGCATCTCATCGGATTTTCATATTAGAGATTCCAAATGGAAAGAGTTGGCAACATCAAATGTTCATATACGAAATCCTGATATTATTTTTCCAACTGAAGGTTGTCCAAAGCCCAGTCATTTGGGAATCAAGTTATAAAACCCTCTTTCTACACATGTATATGTTTCCATTTTGTATATGAAGTGAAGATATCTCTCGATCATCTTTATGTAAAGTAGCTGAAAAAAGTTTCACAGCATAGCATTATCTCCAAGCCATTTCCTTGTTGTAATGGTTAGCATTTCGAGATGTTCGTTTATAACTATAACAAAGTTTTTGGAGCTTTCATGCTGTGCTTCCTATGTTGTAGACCAACTTTCTTGAAGCTGGTTATTTCTACCTTCTTTCCCTTATAAACTTTTTACAGTATAGCCTGTGACTGATACTTTCCAAGCTTCTCTTGTCTTGGCTGATATTGGACTTGCATTGCAATGCATCATCCTTGAAGTATTTCCTGCAATCTTTATGTTCCAATAAAACATTAATATTATTTAGAGACTAGTTTGATGCTCAATCTTTTTCTGATGTTATGACTGCTTGGGGAAGGGGTTGAAGATCACAAATGCGTCGCGAATTGGCTTCAATATTTGATTGTTAGTAGGAATGTTCAAACAGTAATTTGTTCAAGAAATTATACTGCAAAGTTTCAGTTTTCCTCTGCACTGCTGAGTTTTCGGTTGTCACTGCTTGCTTATAATCCAAGTTTCATGTCAAAAGCACTCTCCACTGCCCCTTTAATCTTCCCTTTTCCTTATTCCTGTGGATTATAGGAGGATGGCCATATATCAAGGCATATAGTTCTTCTAGTTTTGCTTGCATTTCATTTTCATGATGCTTTTCCTCTTCCCATTGTTTCTTGATCGAGTTTCTGAGTTGACAAATGACACCGCTGTTTGTAGTCAATAACTTGCTATGCAATATATTTTCATGGCAGACAAATCATCAATATTATGCAACTTGTAGAGCCACCTTTAGTTGAGTAGGTCGAGAAATGAGTTAGACTAGCGATGCTTTCTTTGGAGTTTTGTACGAACTTATTGATAAACATGGGATTGTTCCTCTGTACTTAATCTTATAAATTGGTTGAGAGTTTTTTATCTGTGTTCTCTGGAAACTTAAGTCTGTTAGTTTTAGTATCTGTCTTTTATCTATGTTTACCCGAAAAATGGATAGAGTTAGAATTTGTACGTAGTTCTAAGGATATGTGATATAGCTTAATATAAATCGTAAGGATAGATAAAAATATCAAATATGGATTGCAAAGAATGCAAAATAAACAAGGTTGGAAAGAAGATGATTTTTAGGACTAAACAAGATGAATCAATTTATGAAGCTTAAAAGAATAACTCTTGAATATAGGAGAATATGGTATTTGAATTACAATGTAAGCAAAAGACCCTCCTTTACAGAAATGTAGCCATCCTCTTTATAGTGGAAGATCCTACTTTTAGATATAACTAAAAATATATAGTGGAAGACTCATGACAAATCAGCTTTTCCATAATTCCTGCCAGGATTCTCTCCTCTAGTGAGATTGCAACGGCTCTTGTCTGTGAGCTCGATATTGACTCGAGTTTTCGGTCTTGACTCGAGCTCTCGATCCTGATTCGAGCTCGATTCTGACTCGGACCCCTGTATTGATTCGGGCTCAGTGTTTGGTCGGTCTCTGAATCATAAGCTCGATATCTTTACTTTGCATCATAGCTCGACTTGGGCTCGATCTTGATAATAACATTGAGCTCGACATTGATCCTTCGGGCTCTAAGCTAGGTGACCTGACTTCGGACCTCAACCTGATACTACGAAGACGCTTCTCCGATCCAATGTATTACCATTTAAACTAGTTCGTACGAAAGACTAACCGGTTTTTAGTGCATAGTATCTAAAACCACGGAACGATGTTCCTATTGCATTTGCCTCCAGGTCAAAACAGAGTTTATTCAACCATTTTGTGGTTAATCTCAAATTTTCAGGTGAAACAAGATACATCTGACACTTCAGTTTTCCTTTCTTCACATTGGCTGGAAAAAGGCTGTTTTTTTTAAAAATATATTGGATGGCCTGTTTCTCGATTGATTACTTCACTGATGCACAATATGTGTCAACACTGAAGATTACCATGTCAGTTGGTAATGCTATAACATATATAAATCCTGTTGGAAGCAAGATTAGACTACATGCCAACTGACGAGTACAAACTGTTGTAATTGATTACTTATAAGTTACAGAGAGACGTCTCCATCTGAGCCCACTGTGATAGGTTACGAACTCGCCAAGATGTCAGGTCTAAACACCGGAAACAGGAATTTACTAGTAAAACCCTGATTTAGCTACTTTGCAACAGTCATAGTAACTTCAAAATTCATGCTCTGTTACAGGAATCAGAACTGGGAAGGACCTTGATGGTTGTGGACACCCTCATAGGTGGTTATCACATACCGACAGTCCTCTTTGTCTCGTTCAACTCTCTTCTTCACTGGACAACTTTCAATGGAGCACCTATAGTAATTCCTGTTGATACAGAACATGATTATGTGAGTAAGTTATCATACCAATTTCCATAAGCTGCTATTCGTATAAAGCAAAAGCCATAACTTTTTTGTTAGTCTCTGTGAAAGCGTAGTTAATTGATTAAAGTATGTGGAAGTTTCTTTTTGCCATAATAGAATTACTACTTTCAATTTCTCAACTTTTCTTTTCAGGTCTTACACCCTAGTCTTGGTGTCTTATTGGAACCTCATCTTCTTTTGATGTGACATTCGTTTTTAAGTGACACTAGCACTTCTCTTTTGCCTTTAATATTTAACTAGAAATGGGGCCTTGATAATGTGGTCCCATGGTTTGGCAGATGTGGACTGTTCTTTGGTGAGTTATGTTTCTGGTAAATTTCCTAGAATTTAGGTTGCTTGACTGAGAGTGAAAAGAGTATCAAGTAACTGAAGAGGAGCAGTAGTTGTTATATTGTTAGGATAACTAATAAATTAGGCAGCTTATAGAAATACAACTTAAATAAGTCATGTCATGCTCGGTTGAACATAGATGCAACCAGCTTTTCACTACATCTTTATTTAAGCAAACAGTTACTGCAGATATATGCTTATTTGATTCAGATAGCTTAAGCCAGCAAACTAAACAATAAGCTATCATGAGCTATAAGGCTAACATCTTCTGAGAGCTTTATGGCATAGCGTGGACTGAGTTCTTCAGGTTTCAAGGCATGAGGAGTGATATTTGTCATGGGAACGTGGATAAAAATGAAAACCGAAAGAAAAGGAAAGGTAGAAGGAAAGTTCTAACTAAAACTCTTCCTTCTGTCACCCTTGCCTGAAACAGAAAATATGAAAATATTATCTTACCTTGGGTTTGGACTATCTTTCACCATCTTCTTTCCATACTTTCTCCACTTATAGCCATCATCTAGTATTTCAATCTGTGACAGTGTCTTGAAAGCAACCTTGTCCTTTACTTCCTTCCTCTCCCTGCTGCTCCCAATGTCTATTTGTTTACCAAACCAAATGTTTCATCAATAAAGTTAATCAAATTTCATGGTATGTGCTACTCTTACCTAATTTGTGCATGTGTGTAATGTTATTAGATGTCTCATGTTAATGCCATATAACTAAATTACATAACAAAATGCTAAAAACTGTTTCTTGATGAAATGCTTACTGTTGCTAGATCCTTCATGGTAACTCCTGCTTCTCTCAGTGACAACCACTTCATTTCCTGAGTACTGGGAAGGGCCAGAAACAACGAACGTTGGATCATCATGAACGGGCCAATTATCGAGCTCAAAAATGTCAGAAAGCTCAAAGTTAATTAGCTGGTTGGAAAAATCACTATCAGGTGAGTCCAGTGATCTAAAACTCCCATCAGACATGTTTGCACTAGGATTATTTGCAGCCATGGTAATCGACTGAATTCACATGGTGTACCTTTATGTTGAAGGCAAAGTTCCCCTTTATATATGTATCTTTCCTAGTAAGCTTCCTACGAGGTCGAAAGAAGGTTCATGGACGATGCTTAGGATTGGTGGCTGAATGCATGTCATTGTCGGGGGCTCTTTATTTGCTCTCTTAGTGACTCAAAAAACTATGGTTATGATGCTAAACAAAGAGTGGACCAGTAGAGATCGAGAATGGGACATGGAAGACTTGTGCATAGACTTTTCAAGTTGCTTCTTGTGTGTAAACTTCACATATATCAGGTCTCGTGCTTAGACCAACCCCTTCACAACTGTGAGCGGAATACGACAAGTCAATTTGTGACAATGATTGATTGGTGTCATGACCTTTTCTTATTTGATTGCACTTTCACTTTTCGCATACGCATTCGAGGATTAATGCGAGATAATTTGCACTTGTGTTAACTTTTGTGCGGTGACACTATATCGATCTTTTACCTTATTACTTAAATTTACTTATAACAACATGTAACCACTCGTAACAATAGTCTATTATAGCTAGTTAAATTATAGTATTCCACTAATAGTGTAATGATTTTATAAAACTTAATTCTCATGCACTTTATGGTGCAAGTTTTCATGCTATTCTTTTACCCTGTGGATGTGAAACCTATTGGAGCCCACTTAAGATCTAGGCAAGTTCCAGGGAGTATCTTAACATGCTTTGGAGACTTTTGTTGGATACAGTGGTTGACTTGGGTAGCAAATATATGAAGATTGAGAGATTAAAAATATCATACCAGGATTGGGGTAGATGGATAATGTGTATCCTGATGGCTAAATAAGTTAAGAAATTATAAAAATGGAAAGGAAAAAGTGTTGAGATGTGCGTAGTCTAGTCAGTAATGATGGTATTACAGTCCAAAGTTAGGTTTAGTTTACTTGCGAATAACATTCTTGACACTGTAATTTTGTATGTGACATTTCATGACCACTTAATCCTTCAAAAGATTAATACTTAAAAAAAAATTTAGTTCAAGATAAATTAGGGTTTACTACTATATACAATTCAAACCAAAAGACACTGGATCATTCAAGATTGTCTTTTTAATATACTTCTTGCTCTAACGCTAAGCTGCCACATGTATTCAAGAGGTGTCAACTGACCTCGGCTTATTTGCGAGTCAGCTGACCTCGGATTATTTGTGAGTTTACTTTTTTATAGGTTGACCTTCATTAGTGAAAATTTTAGCTCGATCCGCCATGCCAATTCGAGTTACATATTCAAGAAGCACATATACATTGCCCCCTGCCAACCTGCAAGATGGATGAGTAAGGAAGGAGTTTAAGTGTTTAATGGGTTAGGTATCGGATTGAACATTGAAATAGTCCATGAAAATGGACATCCATGTTCACTTTGTAATTTGGAGACTTTTACTAAGTCTTTTCTTCTGGTTTCACTATATTTTGATTAGAGAAAGGGTAATGTTGGTCAAGGAGTCAATACAACTGATATCAAAATCTTGGACATGGGAGTTGTATTTTCGAAGTCCTTTCTTTCCATCATGTCCCCTTGAAAGAGGGGTTTTAGACCTTAGAGAGATCTTTGATTTTTAATTTAGAGAGATCTTTGGTTGCTTGTGAACAAACTATACTTTCCACATGGAATTTTATGTGTAAAATCGCATCAACTGCATTTCCCAATAAGCTTGTGCCATCTCATTTTTTTCCCATACATGTATTTAGGGCATTAATACAAGTTAATTTGCTAATAAATTTAATCATTATTTGATATGGTTATGTCACGACCCAATTTCTCCTATAGGCTGTGATGGCGCCCAACGTCGCCGCTAGGCAAGCCAACGGTGAACTAGTCATGTATTTGTTCTTTTTAATAATTTCAAAGTAGTTGATTTTTATTTATTAAGTAGATTAGTAGTGAAAAATTATAGTAAGGTAAGACATAAACTAATGAGAGAGTAAATACAGTGAAATAAATATTCAAAACCATAAAGTGTCTACTAGAATACTCTCAAAACCTGCCAGATGCACCTGCCTCAAATTCTGCACGATTAGTGCAGAAGTGTCGCGTGAGTACATAAACAACATGTACCCAGTAAGTATCTAGTCTAACCTCGAAGAAGTAGTGATGAGGGGTCGACATTGACAATTACTATGTGCCAATAAATAAAGTACAAAGATTCTAAATAGGCATGGAATACATCAATAATAATAACACAATAACAAACAGTAAATAAGTGATTCTTTAACTAGAAATCAATTTAAAAATCTCCAATTAGCACATACTAACTTCAACAAATGCGGACCATCAAGTAAACTATATTTTCTCAAGCCATGAAAGTAAAATCAAGTGTAATCGGACTCCGAGATTATCACGCACGATTTATGCCGAGGTCGTAAGGCCTGATCCAGAATAATGTGTACACTGCCTAGGGACGACCGGCACGAACCATAGATGCATCTATTATACTGCCGAGGCGTTCGGCCCGCCCCACAAGAAGATAGAATACTCTACGAACATCCGATTAAAAGGCTATCACAAGACTAATACACAAAGAGGCACAATTTCTATCGACGGTTAAGTAACCCGCCAAAACTCAAAGTAAGTGAAGTTCGGTCTTTTCGAATCATTTATCAAGTTTCAATATAATTTAATCACTTAAATTAACAAGTAGAGTGTAAACAATACAAGTATTTCATGATAGGGTCCTAAAGCTACCTGAATATAAGCATGATTTATAGCTACACACGGACTTTTGTCACTTAGTGCGTACGTAGCACCCACAATTAGTAGCAAATAGTAATTTAAAATACCTATGGGGTAAATTCCTTTTCACAAGGTTAGTCAAGAGACTTACCTCGTCCCAAATCTCATTTTCCGGCCAACAAATTCACTCTAAAGCCTCAAGTTGGTGCCAAACAATCCGAATCTAGCCAAATATTATATAAATTAAGCAATATACACTCAAAAGTTCATAATTTAGCTATTAGAGTAATTACCCAACCCAAATTGGAACACTCCTAAAATTCACTCTCAGGCCCACGTGCCCGAATTCTGGAAATTTTCGAAAATAAACGTTACCCATAACCTAACGAACCCAAATGTGTAATTTTTACTCAATTCCATATTCATTTCGTGGTCTAATCCAATTTTTATCAAAACCTAGGTTTTCCAATAATCTCCTAAAATTCCCATAATTTTTATGTTAAAATCTACCGATAATGCATGTATAAACTCATATTGTGTAGAAATTACTTACCTCAAAGTGCTAGGTGAAAATGCCTTCTCAAAGAGCTCTAAAATCGACCAACAAGTGAGAGAAATGGACCAAAAAGCCTAAGTCTCGACTTTTAAAACATTCTGCCCAGGTCTGCTTTCATCGCGATCGCAGACAAGCCCTCGTGATCGCGAAGGAAAAACTAAAGAACTCAGGAAAATTCCTCTTCGCGATCGCGAGAGGACACTCGCGAACGCGATGCACTGGGCCGCCTCCTCATCGCGAACGCGTGACCTCACTCGCGAACGCGTAAGGCAACTGGGTTGCCCAGGCCCAGGCTCAGGGCCTCGACTCTATGTGAACGCGATAGGTCTCCCGCGAAGGCGAAGGCCACTAGCCCTAAGCCTTCGCGAATGCGTCCAAGACTTCGTGAACGCGATGCACAAAACCACCCAGTCCCTATTCCTTCTTCGTGATCACGAGGGTTCCTTCGTGTTCGCGAAGAAGGAAACCAGAACAGCACACGCACCCAAGTCCTCGGGGACCCCGTCCAAATGCACCAAAAAGCCTATAACTATAATGCGGACTTGCTCGAACTCTCGAAACACATAAAATAATATCAAAACTAAGAATCGCACCCCAAAACCAAATCTAATCAAGTTATGAACTTCAAGCTTTTCAACTTACTCCGAACGCGCTGAATCATACCTAGACTACTCGGAATGACACCAAATTTTGCGTGCAAGTCATAAATCACCATACAGAATTATTCCCAGGCTCGGAATCCCAAACGAACCTCGATAACACCAAAACTTACTCCAAACCAAACTTAAAGAACTTGAAAACCTTCAATGCGCCAACTTCCAATATTAAGCGCCGAAACGCTCCCGGGTCATCTGAAACTTGATCCGAATACATGCCCAAGTCCAAAATCATCATATGAACCTATTGATACCGTCAAATCCCGGTTCCGAGGTTGTTTACTCAAAACATTGACTCAAGTAAAACTTAACCATTATAAGCCACTGTTAAGGAACTAAGTGTTCTGATTTCAACCCGAACCCTTCCAAACCCGAACCAACCATCCCCGCAATTCATAAAAAAGTAAAAACACATACGGGGAGTCTAAATCAGGGGAACGAGGACCTAGAAGGTAAAACGACCGGTCGGGTCGTTACATTCTCCACCTCTTAAATGAACGTTCGTCCTCGAACGGGTCTAGAATCATACCTAGACTGTTGAATAGGTGTGGATATATGCTCCGCATGTCCTCCCCGGTCTCCCAAGTTGCCTCTTCGACTGGTTGACCCCTCAACTGAACCTTTACCGCAGAAATCTTCTTAGACCTCAATTGGCGAACCTACCTGTCAACAATGGCAATTGTCTCCGCCTCATAACCCAAGTTCTCATCTAGCTGAACCGTGCTGTAGTCTAACACATGCGACCTGTCGGCATAATACTTCCAGAGCATAGACCCGTGAAAAACCGGATGAACTCCCGATAGACTAGGAGGCAAAACAAGCTCATAAGCGACCTCCCCAACTTGCCTCAACACCTCAAATGGACCTATAAACCTTGGGCTCAACTTTCCCTTCTTCCCGAACCTCATGATTCCCTTCATCGGTGAGACTTTAAAGGGAACCTTCTCGCCCACTATAAATGATAAATCACGCGTCTTCTGACCCGCATAACTCTTCTGTCTGGACTATGTTGTGCGAAGTCGCTCCTGAATTAACTTCACCTTCTCCAAGAGACCCTTCACAAAATCAGTACCATATAACCTAGCCTCGCCGGGCTCAACCCATCCGATGGGCGAATGACATCGCCAACCATACAAACCCTCAAATGGAGCCATCTCAATGCTAGAGTGATAACTGTTGTTATAAGCAAACTCGGCCAAAGGTAAGAATTGATCCCACTGCCCTCCGAAGTCAATCACGCATGCTCTGAGCATATCCTCTAAGATCTGAACCGTCCGCTCCCACTGCCCATTGGTCTGAGGATGAAAGGCTATTGTAACACTCCTCAAATCTATAAAAGTTTCAAGACACGCTAAATATATAATTTAATTTTTATAATCTTAAATTATACTTGTATTACAGATTTAAACTCTTGTGATTGATTTTGAGTTACTTCTCTATTTATAAATAATTGGATATAGAATTAGGGGAATATTAATAATTTTAATGTTATTAATTATTAAAAGTAGGTATAATTAAATACTAGTTAAGTAAAAACCAAAAACAAAAACAAAAAAAGAAAGCGCGTGC